TGCAGTGGCATGCTCCCGGCCTCCTCAGCCTTGACCTGCTGGGCTCTGGCGATCCCTCTGACTCAGTCTTCCAAGTAGCCGGAACTACAGGCGCCCGCTACCATGCCCAGCTAATTTTTGATTTATTACAGAGATGAGATCTCACCAAGTTGCCTGGACGGGTCTAGAACCCACAGGCTCAGGCAATCCATTCGCCTTGGCTTCCCAAAGCGCTGGGATTACAGGCTGAGCCACTGAACCCGGTCTGCCCTGTATATTCTTTATACTGCAAAATTGGTTATAATCTTGCTCTTAGAAGGTACAGAAATTCTTCCATATTTAACCTTTAAATATTATTAGGAAGCTCTGATGGTTTTAAAATATACCCACAAATTCTTTGGCAAAGGGTGACCCCCCCAAAACTGGAATTTATTGATAAAAATTGCGCATTCACTTTTAAATATTTAAACCTCAGTCACCTTCAAAGTACTCTCCGTTTGGTGTAGTACACTTATTGAGACACTTTTTTCCACTACTCAAAACGAATTGTGAACGCATCCCTTTTGATGCCTTTTAGTACTTCTGTTGTTTTCTATTTCATCTCTTCCATGTCGGCAACATTTTCCTTTGAGGACTTTCTTTTTTTTTTATTGGGGAGAAACAAAAAGAAGTCACTTGGAGTGAGATTGGGTGAATAGGAAGGGTGGGGCACGAGGGTCATGCCATTTTTGGTCAAAAACTGCTGAACAGGCCGCACGGTGTGGGCAGATGCACTGTCATGGCGGAAGAACCAGTTACCTGTTTGGCACAACTCTGGACATTTCTCCTGCAAATCGTGATGCAACCTTCTCAAAATTTCCAGATAAAGTTTGGTTGACTATTTGATCCCGAGGAACAAATTCCAAGTGTACTACAAGAGGCCTGCCCTCCAAAAAGATAATTCCAGGTTTTTTTTGTGTGTTTCCCCCTTGTATACTGCTCTCTTCAAAAGGTGGATCATAATGCCCACCCATCCCCCTCCCCCCACCATCCCCGTGTGAGCTGGATTTAGTAGCTTGCTCCTAACAAATAGAATAAAGAGGAATTGATGATGTTTAACTTCTAAGACTAGGTCTTGAAATGCATGCTGTCTCTCCTTTCTCTTTGTCTTGGATCATTTGTTCTGGGGAAACCAAATGCCAGTGTATGAGGATGTCCAACAGTCCCATGGACAGACAGATATAGAAAGGGACTGATGCCTCCAACCAACCCGCAGCAAGGAACTGAAGTCTCCTGCCTACAACCATAAGAGTTGGAAACAGACGCTTTAACCTTGCTTAAGCCTTCAGTCGACATTTTGGTTACAACCACAGGAGAGACCTTGAACTATGAATGCCCAGCTTTTATAACATTCCCGAACTCCTGACCCCCAGCAACTGTGAGATAATAGATGTTTGTTGTTTAAGCTCCTAACAAGTAATTTGTTGTGCATCAATGGATACCTAATACAATGGTTAAAGTTGTATAACGGGTAAGAAAGTACTTGAAATAAGAAACATTGGTAAATACACATGTGATAATATGGTTTCATCATAATATTATCACATTATACATAAAAACTATTCTTTGGTTGACACTTGCAGGTACTGTTTGAACCATCTGTCTTTTTGGCCTCTTCTTTTTTTCTTTCCCACTTTATAGATTGTTCACACTTTTATTTGAACCACACCAAATTTGTCTGATAAAACTGAGTGAAGGATCTGTTTCTCCTTCTTGCTCATATTACAGCATAACCTTAAAGTACTTCTCCAGTGACCAGGTGTCATGATCTCTGTTAAGCTCACCAAAAGGGCCAAACTTTGTTCTACACATTTCTCAAAAGTGAAATGCTGTGTTGGAGATAGTTTTAAGTCTGTCAATGGGCTGTATATAACCAATCATTTATTTGTTAGTAATCCAATTTTCATCTTAAGGACTAAATGACTAACTTCAAATGCTGCTTGCACTACATAAGTCTGATCCCATCTATGAACACAGTCTTGTCTGATTTCTTAAGTAGAGCAGTTAGCTGAAGCATTAGGAAAATTGACTGTTTTAAGTAGAAAATGTATCAGTTAGGAATGTATTCCGTTTTGAAGAACAGAAAACTCGACAATAGTGGCTTAAACAAGTATGGGGCCTACGTTTCTGTAAATAAAGATGTAGTCATAAGATTTCTAATCCTGGTGCAGCTTCTCAAGAATGTCACGAGTGAATCCATGCATTTGCTGTTCAATCATCCTTCACATATGCCTCTTGCCTCATGGTTGGAAGATTCAGCAGGCATCACATCCAGCTCCAGGTAGGAAGGAAGGTAAAGCACAAAGCTTTATCCTCATAAGACTTTGCCTCTTTTTCTTTTTTTAGAAAATAAAGTGCTCTTCAGGAATTTCTACCTACATTTCATTGGCCAGAACTAGATTCAATACCCACCTCTAGATAAAGGGGAGGCTGTAAACTCAAATAGTTGACCTTTCATATTCCATAGTAAACTTCAAGAAAGAAATGGACTAAAATGAATATGGAGTGATTTAACCCTGAGCACTTTAATAGCTGCCATAGAAGGGAACCTGAGGGTTGTGGAGGATGTTTGTATAACTATATGCATATGTACACATATACACATATACATATGTATTTTTTAATCAATTAATTCACTCAGCAGTACTTTTTCCCACCAAATGAGCTCGAGGAGAAAATGTTTTGGTTCAGTCTCGGGTAGGGGTGCTTGACAGTGCTTAATATCACCAGCATCAAGGGTAATAAATGTTATTCCTTTTTTCTATCATGAATATGAATGACTCTCTGAAGGCTGAATGCAACCTAAGAATTTACGTGAGTAATGAGGCATGCAACATTTTTGAAAATATATTAGCCCAAAGTCTGTATTACTGCATATTTTATATCCTTTTCAATATGCTACAAAAGGTTTGAGCCATCAACTGAATGCTGCCAGAGAAGAACAAACAAGAACAAGGATACAAAAATAAATGCTGGGAGTTGAGTTTCCCCAAGATGCGCTTTATGGTTGGCATAATGATCACAGTACTAAGTAGACTGCTTTGCTTCAAACTCTCCCCATCAGCATTTCTCCTGCAAGCTTGGTTCTCTGTCAAGTTTATCCTGGGCCAAGTATGCAGAAATATGCATGGAGCAAATAGAGAAATGGAGAGAACAATCCACGAACACTTTCTTCTGCTTCTGCACTTGGTTTCTTGTACCTTTTTGCACGCTTGAGACTTTCTCTCTCATTTTGAGAAAATGAAGAAAATATGTCTGCTTAAGGACTTTCCAATTGGGAATTCGGTTAATGTTTAAGTCTTCTATTTGGAACATTCTTAGTGTCCACAATATATTTTGTAGTTATGGTCATATGATAATTATAACTACTAAACTATTTTATAATCTATGAACTTTATCCCACGTAGCTAATATTCAGGAAATAACCATAGGAAAAGATTTACCCTGAGATATCATTCATTACCTTAATCCTTTCTACTTTGAGTACTTTGACATTGTCTTAAAAATATTCCACAAGAAATATATATCATTCCCTTAGAAAGGAACAAAAATCAACTTCACTTTTTCCAGGAGGCTGTTGTCTTACAAGAACACATCCAAATCAAGTTTGGACTGGTAAAGTGAAAATGCATGCAGCATCACATCTTTGGATAATTGCTTATGGCTATGGTTTAAATGTTTATCTCTTCCAAATCTCATGTTGAAATTTGATTTCCAATGTTGCATGTGGAGTCTAATGGCAGGTAGGGCCTAATGAGTGGATACTTCTTGAATAGATTAATGTTCTCCCTCAAGAGTGTGTTCTCACTCTGTTAGTTTCTACGAGCGTTGTTGTTTAAAAGGAGTCTGGCACCTAGTACTTCCCTTACTTTCTCTCTCATCATGTGATCTCTACACACGTGAGCTTCCCTTCACCTTCTGCTGTGAGTAGAAGCCACCTGAATCCCTCATCAGAGGCAGATGCCAAACTTCACCTTTAAGCTTCAGAATTATGAGCCTAATAAACATTTTGTTTTCTTTATAAATTACCCAGTCTCAAGTATTCCTTTAAAGCAACACAAAATGGACTAAGTCACCCACTTACTGTCCAGATCTTTAAAGTTTCAAGGTTCATGTTCTAAGCATTGTTCAGAGATCCACATAAAAATACCAGTTCTGAGGCCCTAGTCATGATAGTTCAGATGGACAGAGTCTGCATTTTTAATATACTTCAAGTGAATCTGATACAGTCAGTTCCCAGGGTGCACATGGAACAGCCCTGCTCTGATAGTCATTTGCTCACTGATGAGAGGCTAATGTCTGTGCCACTGTTATGCCCACTGATAGGTCAGTTTTCTCTTCACACCAGATTTGCTTTTCTATCTGAGGCTAGCTCTCCTCCTTCCCCATCTTTCAAAGGGTAGATCATGTCCACTTCTCCTCACAGAGTTGATAAATTACAATTTTGAAAACACTTCTTGTTGAACCAAAGCATTCGGTCATACAGATAAATGTTTCTTAGTTAAATTTAATTGAATGCCTACTATGAATAAGAAGAGTTATTAAAGATAGATAAGTTATTAAAGATAGATGAGTGCCTACTCTCAAATGAGAATTTCTACATTAGATGGCTCCTGCTTGTCTGTCACTGGGTATGAATTCCTTTAATTAAATTTTAGTGACAAACTACATGGCACAATTGAATAGTTACCATTCTGGAAGCATCATTTCTTGAACAACTCAAAACTCCAGAAGCACTGTTGTTAGGGTAAAGATTTATTGTTGTCCATTTTCTTCTAAGAACTGTCTACATTATTTTCTTCCTTTTAAGAGATGGTTCTATTTTTCTACTAAAGAAAGATTTCTCTTGGCACGAGGTATGTCTGGGGAGCTCTTCCTGTAAACTAGTCATTATTTTTTCCTGGCTATCAGACAAGGCTTCACATAGATATTATATCTGAGGCCTCATCTGAATTTAAGAGAATGACACTGCATATTGCAGAGATATCTATCAGCTGTGCTCATGAAAGTGTCGTTAAGCCCTTGCAAAGAGTAACAGGAAGAGGAAAAGAAGGGAGAAGAGGAAAAGAAGAGGAGCAATGATAACATCTGAATTTTCAAAACCTTTCCTACATATGAAGTGCACTGAATCCTCCTGACAACCCTGAGATGGAGGTATTTTTAATAGACCTATCTTGTAGATGTTGAAAACTAAGGCAGGGAGAGGCTATGAAAAGTCAAATGGCTACCAAGAGCCAAACCAAGATTCAAACCATTCTGTCTGATTTCAGAGCTCTCATTTATTCATTGCTGGAGAACCCACTAGGAGATGGTACTCAGGCAATGTGTTAGCAAGCCTGGTAGCATAGGTCTATTATTCTGGTTGTATCAGAACAACCTGCAGAAACTAGAGGGCCAAAAGTTATGGTTCATCATCCAGTTCATTGGAAGGTCTCTGATGGCCTCAGAAATCAAGCTGAATTTAGAAATACAAGCTCCCTTTCTTCACCTAATTAGTACTTTTCTGCTTCTGTTGATCAATCTACTGCACCAAGAAAGGTCAGTTCTAATTTTTCTAATAACAACTATCAAAATAATTACAGAAAACTTCATGGCTGTCAGTAAAATATCAAAAAACAGTCTGTTGCCTGAGTTGGCCGTACTGACTCATATATTCTTTCTTGTTATAGGGCGTATAGCAAGAATTTGGCTGTTAATTAATGTTATATTACTAGAAAAGTCCAAACATTTAGACATTCTTTTCTTTTTTCTTTTTTTTTTTTGAGTCAAGGTCTCACTTTGTCACCCAGACTGAAGTGTAGTGGTATGATCACAGCTCATTGCAGCCTTGACTTCCTGGGCTCAGATGATTCTTCTACCTCAGTTTCCCAAATAGCTGGGACTGGAGGTGCACACCACAATGCCTAACTAATTAAAAAAAAAATTTTTGTAAAAGCAAGATCTTACTATATTGCCTAGGCTGCTCCTGAAATCCATCTAGACATTCTTAATCGCCCAAACTCCTGGGCTAATATATGCAATTTTTAAAGATATAAGTTAGAAATCATAGTATATGTTTTTATGCTTAAAAACAGAAAGCACATAGCCCACACTGAAGACTACTAGATTGTACTAAGCACTTGAAATAGGTTTTATCAGGGAACCTCCCCTCCCAGTATATTAATTTAATAGGTCAAAGTTAATTATCAAAAGATTGTAGGGCACAATATTTTGCATAATCAGAATGGTTTATTATCTCATCATTTGATTTTTTTCATTTATATTCAATTCACAGGAACATAAGCATATCAATTACAAAACAATCTATAATAACTAAATGCAAAATAACTACAAGGCTGTCTAAATATTGTGCACTACATCTAACACATTACAGAGCTCAGTTACAAGATGATTTTCACAAAACATCATCTAAATATTGATTATTCACATTACCTGATAGGAAGTTCCTTGTAGATTCTTTCTTTGAAGGGTGTGTATGTTATTAGTTAAAAGGAAATCATCTTCATTTAGACCTGTAAAAAAGAGATAAATGTTACATAAACATTATCAGAAATTATAGGATTTAGGAAGTTTTGGTAAAATTTAATACTCATATTTTTATTTAGTCCTAAGAACTAGTCTTTATTTAGTCTTAAGGCTAGATCATAAACATTTCTTTTTAAAAAAAAAAAAAACTACACTTTTTAAAACGAGAAACAGATAAAAATAAATCAGAAATTTAACAAAATAAGGATGCCACTGACCAGCTGGGCCCCTGAGGAAGCCTCACTGGGACTCAGTTTCTCTCTTGGTCATAAAAAGAATGTTAATTATAAAAGCCACTTTAACTCCAAAATGCTATGATTCCATGCAGTTATCACCTCACCTGTTTCTGTTAAACTAAGGTTTCCACCCCAGCATTTTAAGCTTCATTAGCTTAGGTCTTCTTAACATGAATTATTTATGTCAAAATTGTTCTATGCTTCCTTTAGTAAAAGCTTTGGACTGTGGCATCCATCTGTTTGAAGCTAAATGAAACCTTTTCAAGAGTAACAGCACTTCCCTTTCAGCTCCTGTTAAAGGAGCTGTATTTATTTACATCCAAAATATCCAACGTGTTAAAGAGGACAAGACTTTATGGATCACTCAATTTAAGCCTCTTATTTTACAGATGAGGATGCTGTGACCCATAGAAATCACCTGCCCACCAGGCTAGTGATTCGACCTTTCACTTTCACACTTATTTACTTGCAACCACTGTTTCAGTTTTTCACTATGCCTCTTTCTCATATTCTGCAGGGGAAGAAGGGACAGACAAATGAAAAAACAGGTGCAGATTTTTCTCAAATTACCATCATAGCTATGGCTAAAAGATCCGTCAAATTCACAGCTCACTCTCAAATTTACTTGCACCAATAACGTAATATTTAAAATCAGAGTAGCCATGCCACAGGATTCCAGAAAGTTCCCAATTTTAAAAATGAGCAGATGTTTTGAAACAAAAACTTTTGTTACAGGGTCGGATTGCTAGAAGCTGTGTTTTTGCAGCTGTTTTATTTTCAGTTTCTATATTTAGAAAATAAAGTTATTTCCTTCCTTCTTTTATTCCTTTCCATCGTTTCTCCTTTTTAACCATTTCCACATAAATTTTGGAGAACTCCTTCTATAGGCATTCTTTTGGATACAGAAAAAGAACAGTAAAATGGCTTTCTGTGCTCTAGAATCTGGAATAAGATATGATGTACACGATGCATTTACATAACAGTATAAGGCAGTAAGAGGTACTATGGAAAAAGATCATTGTGACCCAGAGTACTTGTAGACGAGGTAGGACCAGAATGAAAGCTCACAGAATGGAGGTAGTTTGAAAAGGTGGAAGGAAAGCAAAAGGTGCAATACAGCAGCAGTGCTAAGAATACAAGCCTTTGGTGCAGACAGTGGAATGTGTTTAATTAAGGGTAGAGATTGAGACCAGCTGGGCCAGTGGCAATTCTGGAGATAGTGCAGGACGAGGTGGAGGAAGTTGGGTGCGTGAAGCCAAATGTGAATAGGCCTTGAGTTCCAGGTAGAAGAACTTGACCATAATCCACTAGAACAAAGTGTGGTAAATATAAATATTGATAGGAGTCCAACTAGTTACCTGACTAATAAAGTGAATTTGGTGAAGAAGTCCATGGGAGTTCTATGAGCTAGAGAGTCAGCTTCCTAGCCAAAGGGTCGCCATGACTCCCAACTTTCTTAAATGAAGTCACCGGAGAACTTGGGTCCAAAATTATCAGTCTCCCTCATGATTTTCAAGAGCATACAAATATATTGATTTTAATGTAAAATTTCCTGATTTTAAAAACAACATATGGCCCCAAACAAGATTTTCTTCAGAATAAATTGAGTTATATTCGTACCAGTCTACAGCCCCTGCTATAGAAAATGAGGGACCTTTGAAGGTTTGGGACTAAGGAAGGAACACCAGGATAATTCTATTTTATAAAGATAAAACTATTTGGTGTACAGGCTTATAAATTTGTGATCTCCCAACTATTACCCTACAGAGAAAACTTTTTTTTTTGAGTCGAGGTCTCACTCTGTCGCCCAGGCTGGAGTGAATGGCCACCACAGCCTTAACCTGCTGGGCTCGGGCGATCCTTCTGCCTTTCTAGTAGCTGGAACTACAGGTGTGCACCACCACATCCAACTAATGTTTCTTGATTTTACTGTAGAGACGAGATCTCACCAGCTTGCCCAGGCTGATCTCACTATGTTGCCCATGCTGGTCTCAAACTCCAGAGCTCAGGCAATCCTCTGACCTCGGCCTCCCAAAGTGCTGGGATTACAGGTGTGAGCCACTGCGCCCAGCCCAAAGAAAACATTTGAAAGGCAGAAGCAATTTCTTCCTAAGTAGCAACAAAGGCAGTAGTTGGATTGGGCAATATACAGGCTGTATTTTCTAAGGATGGCCACAATCATATCTCCCATACCATGTGTTCTTTTGTAATGTGATCTGGCTACTCCTCCATTAAGAAATGGAGTCTAATTCTCCTCCTGTTGATTCTGGGCTGGTCTTAGTGACTCACTTGTCACAGCAGAATGCAATGAAAGTGATATATTGTGATTTCCAAGGTTAGTCAAAGGAAGTCTTGCTGCATAAGCTATATGGGAGGATCGCTTGAGTCCAGGAGTTTGAGGTCAGTTTGGGCAACATGGTGAGACATCCATCTCAAAAAGAAAACAGCACAAAACATAAACAAACAGAAACCCAAACCAAATAACTTACAAAAGAAGAAACTTGCAGCTTCTACATTGTTCTCCTGGAATGCTCATTTCCAGATCCTTTCTCATGTGATATGTGAAACTCCCTTGCATGTTGCCCCCTCTGGAAACTGAATCCTTAGGCTGGGAGAAGCTGAATTCACATGAAAAGGCTACTCGGTAGTCCCAGCTGGGTCCCAGCTGAGTCCAGCCTAACCCAAAGTGCCAGCCATGAAGTGAAGAAGCCTCTATGATTCCGGCCACAAGAGTTTAAGTACTCCCCAGTCATTCAAGTCTTCCCAAATGAAGCCTCAGATATCACATCATAAAACAGTGGCCTGACTGAATTCCTGACCAGCAAAACTTACGAGTCTAATAAAATGCTTTATATCACTAATATTAGGGTGATTTGTTTGCAACAAAGATTATGAGAACATGTATGAACTACATAGCAAAAAAAATTTGTGGGCATAAAAATGTACCACCTGGTATAAAAATTGAGACTCCAACTACCCCTCAAGTGCAGAGGCAGCAAGGAAAAAAGGATGAGGTCAAAAAAAAATCTTATTTCTATTAACTTTAAGGTAATTCTAATGTAGACACTTTTGACCACATTAATTTTCAAAAAGTAGCTATAATACAAGTAAGAACTCTACTAGATAATTGAGGGATTCCAAGATTCATCTGTACAAAACACTAGAACTCATTGTTCTTATCATTCAACTCAGAAAGGCTTCTTTGAAAGCCTTTACCACTGCAGCAGGTAAGTTTTTGGCTAAGGGAGCTTATTTCCACATTGTAAGTGAAGATTGAGGTGTGAAATAGACTTCCTTCTGGCATTCCTCACGTAGTCCAGTTGAGCCAGAGTTAAATTATCTGCTCTTGGGAAATTTCTTTAAAATTAAATGTACGATCCCTGAAAATTAACTAGAATGGCAAACATATGTGGGAGTTTATACATTTATCATCTTGAAATTAAGGTATTAGGTATAAGACCAATAAAGAAAAATAATTAATAAGGTTTTACAAAATAAAGCAAAAATATTTACATGCTTACACCGAAGAGGCTGGACAAATAGCATTGATAGAACTCGGGAATAAAAGGAGGGTTTTAAACCAATGGCAATTCAAATGGTAGACTAGAAGGCCCTAAGAACACCTCACCTCTCCCAATGAGTTTCTCCTTTTTTAATTAATCTCAATAAAACCATATGTAAAGAATATATATTTTTTTGTTTCTGAGTTGGAGTCTCACTCTTGTCGTCCAGGCTGAAGTGCAGTGGCACACTCATGGTCACCGCAGCTTGGCCTGCTGGACTCAGGCAGTCCGTCCACCTCAACCTTCCAAGTAGCTGGAACTACAGATGCACGTCACCACACCTGCCTATTGTGTGTGTGTGTGTGTGTGTGTGTGTGTGTTTGTGTGTGGGTGTGTGTTTTATTGTAGAGACAAAGTCTCACCAAGTCTCAAACCCCCAGGTTCAGGCAGTCCTCTCACCTCGGCTTCCTCGCCTGACCAGAAGATTTATTCTTAAAATAATTTTGTAGCAATATGGGTAGAGCTAGTATTCCTTTTATTACTAACAATGTTTTCTGACTTTAGATGGTCCCTTATTTCCTTTATTAACATATGTTATTTTTTTCCCCAAATCTTTCTTTTTTTTTTTTTTGAGTTGGAGTCTCACTCTGTCCCCCAGACTGGAGTGCAGTGGCTGCTCCCGGCCACCGCAGCCTCAACCTGCTGGGCTCCGGCGATCCTTCCTCCTCAGCTTTCCGAGTAGCCAGAATTACGGGCGCGCGCTACCACGCCCGGTTAATTTTTTGATTTATTGTAGAGATGAGGTCTTGCGCCCAGGCGGGTCTCGAACCCGCGGGCTCAGGCAATTCACTCACTTCAGCCTCCCAAAGGCGGGGGAATACAGGCTGAGCCACCGAACCCGGCTCCCAAATCTTTCTTATGGGAATAGTCTATCGCAGTCACACTGATGGTTTGAAAAATTTCTAAATATATTTTTTCTTTTTATTATTTTAATCAATGCTTTGTTTTTATTCTTTGTACTTTCAGGTATAAAAAATGAAAACCCTGCTTTTGAAACTATCTTTACTTAAATTATAACTTAATCATGGTTAAACTCCAATTCATGGATTTCAAAGTTTGCTCTCATTTTTTTCCCAGTAAAACTAAAGCCAAGATAAATATAAAGATTTTTAAATTGACTCTAACTTACTGAAATGCATATTCTCCCTGTTTATAATGCTGAAAATACAATTAACATGAATTACAGAATAATTTCCCTTGACCAGCAAAGCTTACGAGTCTAAGCTATGTCAATTTTTAGTTGTAAAATCCTAAGTATTCAACTTATCCTACATTTTATTATACAGATGTAGTCTTTTTTAATAGCACAGATGTAAATTTAGATTAAAAAAAATCTTCTTAGAAAAAGGAAATGGACTAGATAAACTAAAAATATTAAGCTTCTGGCATTCCACTTATTCTGATAAATTTTGTCTTAACCTAAATAGTACAGTCATGTTGTTGAGCTGTGTGAATATCTTTATGGATTAAAACACCGAACACAAATCCTCAACTAAATATAGCCTATGGAAGTTTTTCATCAGACCCCAGTATCCTCTAGGGCTGAAATGCTATTAATATAATATGTATCATGTAGAAATATCATTTTGAAATTGAAATTGAGGAAACATTCTTTTTTTTTTTTTTTTGGTCTTGGAGTTTGCAACAGATCCTTAGAAGCTAATGGCACTTTTAATAGTTTATTTCCCTACATATTTTTTTTTGTTTTATTGAGGCTATCTTTACAATCTCATCACTAGTGTACAATAAAATCATGTGCTGCAGATAATGGCTACGGTGCACTATCCCATCTTTCTGTCACTGAACTCTACACATTGCCTATCCTCAGGCACAGTAAACTACTCTTAAGTACTTATGCAATTAACAACTAAAAAGGAATGTTGAAAATGAGAAAGAAATATTATGGGTTGATCTGTAGGGCACTAATTGCTTAGAAATACTCTGAGCCTTCCAAATGAAGTTACTATACCCATAAACTTTGAGCCTACAACTTGTGGCCCTGAATTTCTCCCTTCAGTTTATAATGCACAGACAGCCTTGGTCTCAGGCCATCAACTCTTTCTAGCATGGCATTAATCCCTAGAAAATGTCCTGTGACTCAATTGCTACTGCTGAACTTCTTAAACACACACACACACACACACACACACACACACACACACACACACACACACACACACACACACAGACACACACACACATACACTGAACATACACGTTCACTCAAGAACCTGAGAAATATCAAAGCTGGAAAGTATTCTGCAAAGGCTTTCTTTTTTCTACTCTGACAAAGCAATCAGAAGCAGCTCCTAAGAACAAGATTCTCTGATGCTTTGTCAGTGTAGCAGTGACAGAATCAAATGCCTATTACTCCTAAATTAATGAAACAAAATGAAACAAAACACAACAGTTCACAGGAAGGCAGTTTTAGGAAATAAAATACTTAAAGAGATTTATGGTAAAATGTATAACTAGAAAAATCTGTAATACAGTTATACCTTCTTTATGCATAAATAACATGCAATAATCTAAAATATAACACATGCTTATTAGAGGGATTGACAGATAAAGTATTGGTGGATGAAAAGACATCGCTGATGGAGCGATGTTTGATTCACTGACTGAAGGTGTGAATGGATATAGATGGCATCCAAGTGGTGAAGACAGAGCCCAATCAAAAGATGATAGTATATATATATTTTTAAGTGCTAGTATTGAAATATTTTTTGTTGTTATTTTAAGTTTTTCAAATAATCCTATAATATGTCACCTATTTCTTTATTCAAAAAAATTTAAAGATTTTAAAGTTCAGTTAAAATGACTCATCAAAATGTTACCTAATCTTGCATAAATTCAAAATATTTTAAAGGAGAATTATTATTTTCATAAATAATTGCTTTGTAAATCTAGAAGCTTTGTGAAAAAGTAAAGCACAAAATTTGTACAGAATGTATAATCAAACTATTAAACCCCAACTATAAAAATACATTACAATTTATTTTGTTCCCAAATATTAAAAAATCATTTTTAAACATCAGAAACTCTTAAATTGTCAATAATTAATATTATCAATGACTTCTTGTCTGATAACCTCAGGGACTGAATACTAAGCACGTCAGTTTTTCATGCTGCTGTTCATCTTTGTGAACTCTTATGACTCTCTGTTATACTAATTACTATGCCAAAGTTAAGTAATTTTAATATGTCATTTATTATTAATACATTTTTCTATACCTATCTTCTAATTTGCTCTTCCTGAAAATGTTAAAAGTATAAAATGACATAATTTTGTATTAATAATAAGGATTATGTTTTTTAATCTAAACATCACAACTATGAACCTTTGATTTTACTGTTAGAGGATTTTTTCTAGGTGCTAATTTTTAATACATTTAAAAATTTTTTTGGATATTAAAACTTTCAAATATTATCTTCAGTTGATTCTTTGCTTCAACAGGCAACTTAATTAGATTCCACTTCCTTTCTTTATGGGTATTTATGTGATGTATACATATTTATATGTATAAATTTATAATAATATATATTCTATACTATTTGGTTTTCCTTTTAAAGTAGACAGCAATGGTTTGCTTATGTTAATGTTAAAAATGTAAATTTTTCTTACCTGCACTTTAAACTACTTTGGGAAAATGCTAAGTCAGTTGAACTAAATTTAGCAATTACCTTTTAGCTGACAGGGCCTTCTGATGTGGGAATCATTCTCAGGCTTGCTGGGCTCCTGCCAGGGTTTATCATTCACAGTTTTTTCTTCTAAAGTGAAGCAGAGGATTGGTTAGCAGAACTCACAGTAACATCTGTCTGGTAAGTGTAAGAAATTTGAAATCAAAACAAGTTCAGTACACAGTTGCAACTTGTTAAGTAATATTAAGAGAGTTCTGTGGCCCATTTTGGGGATGCCTAGTCTCTCATGGACAACTGCAGGTGTCCTGTGGTATGCCCATTTATTTACATGAACTGCGTAAGCACTCATGCATATATTGAACCATGTTGTTACTCAAATGCTTCTTGATAGCTTATGATTGCATGATTCTTTGAAGTAGTTTTCTTGAATTCATAACCAATTATTTTTATGCATAAGTTAAAGTGTCCTCATCCTCCACATTCCCCATCGTTTTTAACAAAATGATTGAGTGTGTAGAAAGAACATTGAGCTGTGATAATTTCAAGAAACTGTTAAATCCTTGAGTGGAAGGTCCATGATTTGCTTAGCTCTGTCCTCCCAACACCTAAACCAGGGCCTGGACATGTGAAGAAATAAACTACACCAAATAAAAAAATTGAATCTCTTCTAAATTACTGAGCAAAGATGAATTATTCTAATTATTCTACATGTTGCACCATGCATTTATAAAACAAATTTTAAATAATTTCAAATAATGCAACCAAAGCATAGCATAGCAAGGAAACAAACTCAGCATTCTGTATTGTTTTAAAAGTCACTATTTGCTATTATGTTTGGATTATAGAAAAGGAGTTGATCATCAAGAATTACATTAGGATGGAAACATTCATAGTATTGTATGCACAAACAGAATAGACTGCTGTGAGAATAGATCTAGATGGAAAATAAAAATTTGCCTTACTTCCTTTTATTTAAGATTATGCATTATTCAAATCAGGTCTGATATTCAAAATTTTTTAATGAGGACCCTGATTATGCAGGACCCTGAGTAATGAGATAGGACTCAGCACCTACAGATGCTATTGCTAGAAGAGTATCAAACAAGAGTAAAATGCAGATACCCTTAGAAGATGCACCCATTGAGGACAGTTGCCTTGGTCAGAATGAGCTTTTCTACAAGGATCCTACTAGGAATTTTTTTTTTAAAGAGGAAAATTGGCATGAGTATCTGACTCCTAAGGTCTGCTGGGAAAAGGAAAGGAAAAAGGATACCCACATCTGGATAATCTAGATGTTTTAGCATTGAGAATGTTTTCTAATTCCTGACTTCCTATATTCTGTAAAGGAAAGAAGGGATGATCAATTAACTAGCCAAAAGTAATAATAGAATTAGGTTTTCAATTTAGAATTAAAATATGAATCAAACCAGTTATTACTATAAATGTTATAATCATGGAAACAAGAGAAAAGATCCAGTGTGTGAAAGGCTGTGGAAGAGTCTTTTATAATAAAGACATTTTCTGTCTCTTTTATTTACTCCTAGATTCATAGATCTGCAAAAATCTCTTACAGGTCACCTTGACCATGGACTAGCCAAGCTAGATGTGGAGAACTAGAAGATAATCAGCCGGCAAGTCTCCAAAGAGAATTATTCTTTTTAAATATAAGAGGAAATTATTCCAAATAAATCAATGGTTTCTTTGTCTTAGCCATTTAAAATTAGATAGAACCACATTTACTTTTTAAATTTCTTCTATAGAATTCAAAGACAACTCAATTTGACTTTCATTAATCACTTGTTGTTGTTCTATGGCAGTGTAGTAAAACAGAATGTATTATTCACACGAGTTATCTTATGAATCACTCACCAAATATTTTATTTTCAGACATGAATCTTCGGAATAACCTAGAAAAATAAAAGAAACAGATATTTAGGTCTAGGTTTACAAAATAATATTTTAATCAAACAGAAACTAGAATGCATGCAATAAAGAGAAGATAAATAAATTCTGCCTCTAACTAAGGTTTACTTATGGTCTTGAATTTTCCTAAATCTAAGTAGCAAATTAGTTAATATAAATATAATCTTGGTCTGTAAATTTCCCCAAGCGATATGGAGAAACTATTATAAAATTACTCATTTGAAAAAAAAAGGTGAGTAATTTTTACGTGAATATACCTCAGGATAACCCAATAGTTAGTGGAGAAACATTCTTTTCTAAATAACACTGTAATAAATACAGAAGAAGTGATGCAAATTGAGTATAACCGTTAAGTAATCCCTAAGAGAACAATAGTCCTGAGAACAATTACCAATTGTTGAAGCTTTTAGTGGAAAGTAGGCAAACGGGCTACTTTATGCTGGATGGATCAACCTGATACCATCTGAATCAACTGAACGACAATTGCCAATCATAAAAATGGAAGCTACTGACATATGGCTTACTATACAATGCAACAGGTGGTGTACAGTCACCGAAGATCTACATTTAAATGTGTGTGTGTGTGTGTGTGTGTGTGTGTGTGTGTGTGTGTATGTGTGTAGAATCTTATCAAACTTCGTATATACTTGAATCTTATCACACCCCAAGATGCAATTTAAAATTTACAGGAAATATAAGGTATAGAAAAGCATATATATAAAATAATAAGTTTCAATCAGCCAAGTTCAAAAATATGGACATCTTTTAGAACACATGCTCCAATTTTTTCAACAAATGAAGAGACATATAAACAAAGAGATATGAACTGAATGCATAGCATGGAGCTTTTTGAATCCTGACTTAAATAAATCAACTTGGAAAAACCATGTGAGTCTTTCAGATACATTTTAATTGACTGTTTATTTTTTGGTATAATATCATTTATCTTAATTTAATTTGTTCTAGTACATAGGCTTTATTAAAAAAACAGTGAGGATAGGGGTGGGGAAAGTAAATGGGGTGAGAGAAAATAAGATTGGCTGTAGGCTGATACTTGTTTAAGTTCGGCAGTGTGAGTTCATCATTATCTCTTCCTCTGTGTAAGATTGAACATTTCCATAATAAAATGCTTTAAAACAGAAACAGAGGATAGGGTTATGCTAACTTGGCCATGCTAATCAATTCATGCACACATATCCTGTGTATATAACTTTGCTATAGCTTGTGTTTTTCACTATTGATATGATTGATAGTCATTAAATTAAAGCCAAGTTCATCCTTTTCATAAGCTCAAAGTTGTAAGTAAAAACTTGTGTATATGTATAAGATTTCCGTTTCCTAACCATTTTGTTTGTTTTTAATTTTTTCAATGCAAAATGCTAGTACATATCTTGGCATATGGCAAGCATTTTTTAAAAGCTATTTATAATATTATAAAGTGTGGTAGGTATGTAACAACATGAGATATCATTTCCATCAGGGAAGTGATGGGCAAAAAAAAAAAATTCAAAGGAGTCCTCCATTTTATTTTACTTGGTTGGGATCTGAGGAACACATTAATTGACTTGGTTTATGTTGGGAAAACTGTAATTTGGTCAGCATCATGCACTTTCTTTTTAATTCATCGACTTTCTCCCATGCATGTTTTGGTAGCCTTTAATTTGTGGAAGCCTCGATCATAAGTCAACAGCACGATTTTGTTTAAGTATTTGCCTTGGAATTAGTGATTTCCTTATCCACGTTTAGAATAAACAGCCTCATAGGTGGGGCGATAAGATTGAGAAGAACCCTGCCAAAAGTCCCTTCTTTACATCAGCTCATGCTTAAAACTCCAGGGTTGTAGTTTAAATAGCTAATTATGACTGAAATACAACTATCCCTGCTTGGCCGCTGCCCTGAGTGTTAATCATTTAACTACCTACTTACTATGCATGTGTTTTGTATACTTAACTGAGAGAGAGATTTGAGCAGGAAAGGGAGAAAAGAATATGAAAAGCTGAATGCCTGGATGAGGCTAGAGCAGGGCTGTGAAGAAAGAGGACTCCAGGGAGAACTTCACATCACTCACAACTTGGCCACAGACCAACACAAGGAAGCCATTTTTCTGTATCCTTAGCAACCCATCTGAACATGTCCCCATAAACCAACTCCCTGCCCCTGCGTATTTCCTGCTTATTAGTTAAAATCCCACTACCTTATGCAACATGTGTATGTCACGTCCTCTGGCAGCTGGGTGTGCTGAATGTAAAGCTAGGCCTGACCTAAATAACCCAAACCTCTTTGCAAACACATTTTTATGCGGATTAGAAAAATTCTTCAGAAGATTTATGGGTCACCGATAGAAATATGTTTTTATGTAGGCTCCTACTTTAATCTGAGTCAAGTTTAAACACATGCTTCTTCTTCTGAAAATTTAATTTTCACAGCCCTGTCTACAGGAGTGTCACAACACAGATTTCCTATGCATCAGCATAAACAGAGAAATGGTAGCAGTGTAATACACACCTAGATTTGTACATGTCAGTTAAAAAAATAGCACTCTGGCAGGAAACCCACTATAGCAGTAACAGTCCAAGGAACATAAAATTTACAAAGTAAATTTGACTTACTTTCTTTTTTGTGGTTTTGCATTCTCCAAATTAGAAAATTCCTGTAAAATAAAATAAAAAACAAAACATAACTACTCCAAGAAACGAGAAAGAGAATTCAAGAATGATTCATCTTCAAGGATAATCTAAGTGTAGTTCATTTTAGTTTTTTCCTAATAAAAAGACTGATAGGTTTCCCTTTGTATTTTAGTAATGATCTTGGCTCAAGTTTTTTTTTTTTCTTTTGTAACGTTGAGAAAGGTAACATGCTTCCTTTATTAACTAGGATGAATATCTTCTTTTAAACCCTTGATAGTTTAAAAGCAAAAAGATATTTTAAAGTAAAAACATGCAATTAATATTTACAACCTCAACCTTCCACGCTATATCAACCCACCAAAACCAAGGGGAAAACTACACACTAGGGTGTGTTTGTTACATTACATATTATCTTCTTTTGAGAAAGATGGAAAGTAGCCTAACACAATACTCTAAGGGTTTGAAATACATCTGTGATTCATCTGACATTTTTCTTCAGACCAACAGCCTGTTGTGTAAAATCCCTTACACTTTTGGGGAAAGAATATGTCAGCACATCTTTCACCATCCTCATAAGATCTTAAACTGCCCCAGGCACCCTTAAAAATCCTTCACATTCTCTATATATCTACTCCCTCATTCAAAAAAAACATTTACTGAACATCTACCACCCAGTAGGCAACAGATCATGTTCTAGGGTTGTTTGTGTGGCATGGTAGAAATCTATATACTAAAAAATTTTGTGACCAATATTCCACTTAGGGAAAAACCCTACATGTTAAGGCTAGGAGGAATGGAGAATAAAAAACAGGAAAAGGAAAGTTTGTTCTGTTTTTCAGATGGTTAATAGTATCAGTCTGAGGGCATGGTCAAATCCACGATAATCTTTCCCCTAGCTAGTGACTGAGGCGGCCATTTCTCTAATCCTTATTTTGCTTATATCAAGATGAAACTGTCCAAGGACAATTTGAATTTCCTGTTTTCTCAGTTATTGAACAGAACTTCACTGAAACGTCACATGCAGAAACAATCAGTCCTCAAACTTGAGGAACACATTTTGCCAAGTTTGAAATGCTCAGTGGACTGTTACTGGTGGGGAAAGGTGGGGAGGAGGATATTGATAAAGCAGTGAGTCATGCACTAAGCCGGAATCAGCTGGGATGTTAACATGCCTTTGAAGAGTTGATGGCCAGACTAACCCCTCCTTTTAGTCTCTATGCTTTGTCATCACGTGGCCTAAAACATTTCTTTAAATAAAATCCAATCTCTAGACAAGTTCGTCTAATGACATTATTTACGTCTTAGGCCACATGTCTCCAAACCTCAGACCAGAAACTGACTGTGTTCCTTTTTTCCACAGTCAGCAGACACACACATTTATTCAACCGGCTTTGTGATAGTCATTGGGAAAGAAGGTAGCTGTTCATCTTTGTAGTTTTCCTGTCATATATACTTGGAACTTACTAAGAAATAGCAGACTCCATGTACATACAGTCTATGCTGTATGAGCCAAATATGTCTCAATAGTCAGAATCCATTATCTTGAGTCTCATTAATTTGTTGTATGGGTTTTCATAGATCTCTTGGGATTATGACTCTTGAACTCAACAAATAGATTCCAACTTTTGAGAGAATAGAGAGAAGGGGTGTTTATTCTAAGTCAACCAGTGCAAAAGGTGAATTTGCAATAAGGAAGATGGGAAACATTAGACACTTTTGGTATTTTTAATCATTTTAATCATAGTACATCTGAAACAACTGATTATAGTGGTACTTCATAGTCTTTGTTATCAAAGAGGTTAATTCCAGATGGCTCACAAATTTATGTGCAACTGGACATGAGAGTTCGAACTGGAAGAGTGGGCATATTACTCAAGCACAGTCTGGGGCTGGACCCACAAGAAGTTGGTTAAATACTTGTAACCGGGGATTGTGGTGAAAGGTTCACAGTTAGCTTCTGCACTGAGGTTTGGAGACATCTGGACCAAGACTGAAAGAACTTCATAAGACCATGGATAGGGATTGGTTATTTTTAGAATGTATATTATCACAATAGTCTCTAGGGACTATCCACTTTGCTCTGTTTTACTAAAGTGGAGTCATTCAATTTTTTGCTTGTTATGAATCAGCTTAGCTTTGGGGATCTTTATTATTTTCTTGTAATGAATACTTTGAAAAAATTTTTGGCTGTAACTTTTAAAAAGTATTTAGCCAGATGAAATTATTACTGTAGTTCTCTGTAGGAATCCTGCTTCCTACAAGTGTAGGGAGAGTCAAGCACATTAAATGTGGGTCTGAAATGTGAATATATGAGGAAAAAGGACTACTTAAACAGGCCAACATATACTAAATTAGAATAATAAATCTGTTCCCTGGGTGTTGCCTAGTGGACAATTACTACTGAACCAGTTAAGCAATTTTTAGTACTGTTGTAGCATACTTAAAGCAGCTGCGCAAAATGTAAACTGCTTTCAATTCTGACTGCTGTTTACATAAGCAGACTGTCACGTATGTTAGAGTTCATACCCTAGGTTTTTATTCCTAGAGGGCCAAGGCAAAGGAAAGCTACATATAGTTTTATTTTTAGAACTATAGTTGTGTGTGTTATAATCTGAACTCCAAAAGGAAGATATCATTTCAGAGTTAGTGAAATAATTCTGTCTAACCCATTAATTTAATATTTGTCATGATTACCAAGTAACACTTATCCTTGTTAGCTTTCATTTTATTATTCCCTAAATCAAGCTCTAATCATTGATCTTGTCTTTCATTCACTAGGAAATGTGTGGCTTAATTTGCATTTTAGCCCTGTTAATAGATTAAAAATGAAGCATAGACAAATTATTACAAATTAACCAACAGAAACTAAAAAATATGTTCAAAGCATGATATTTATAAGATAAATGTAGTTAGGCTCCAGGAGCAAAGCATTTCCACATATGAGATGAGGTCAAAGTTTTAAAAATAAAAATGAAGAGAAAGTGTATCTTTTTTTTTAAGTTTTTAAACAATGTTTATTAGAGAAAGAAGGGAGAAAAGAAAGTAAGAAGGTGTATCTTAAAAAAATGAAAAGAAGATGTATCTTAAGAAACAAATTTTAGATATTAAATACCATATTCTCATGCAGTGGCTAAAGATGATTATCCTTTGGGATTGGGTCTAATATGTGCTTGATTCTTGCTTTGTTGGTTTTAAAATCTTACTTTCAAATCAAAATGTCTAAAGGAAAAATGAGTGACTATGTCAGGAGCTATTGTTGTCTAGCTAATGGAAATGTGATAGGTGTTTTTTGCATCAGAGAAAATTGATTAGCAGTAATTGATGGTGTAAATCCAAAGTGAATTTTTAAGACTGTGAAACTGATGTGATGTGACATTTGATTTGAAAATGAATAAACTGAGACTCAAAAGCATAAATCGACTTGTTAGGGTCATGCATATAGTGCTTTACCTTAATTAAATACTAATTGCCTTTTTATTCTAATGTATTCCTTTGGAATTGTACAATTCATTCCTATATTTGTATTTTATGCAACAGATATTTATTGAGCATCTATCATATACCATGATAAAAAAGGAGAAAAGATTTTTTTCTTCTCACCTATCACAAGTTTTATGGCTTACATTACTATAACAAAAGACATATTAATGAGAGAAAAGAATGCATATTTATTTAATTAACAAAAGTTGTATGGGGCACAAGCTTTCAAAAATGAAGACTCAATACTCAGGGAAATCTGTGTATTTTTTTGGATGGTTGTACAGAGGCATAATCGAAGGACAAAAGGATACTATCTAATGGTAATAGACTGAAGGTAATTTATCAAGGCCTGTTTGTTCAGATTCTTCTTGGAGTCTTTATGTGACATCCTTTTCCTGTGGGTAAAGGGCAGGATACCTGTCACCTTCAGAGAAGGAAGGAAAGAGAAGTTCAGAGAATGACCTTCTTAGGGTTTATGGTCTGCTCCAGGGAAGAAGGGGCAAAGGGAATTCCTATGGTCTGCCTCAGGGTAGAAGGAGAAGAAGGAAATTTCCATTTCTATGATCTATTTTACGTGAGATGGAATCAGAGAAGGTCAGAGAGGATTTTGCTGCTTCTAATGTTTTCTTAATTTCCTTTAGTTTAAGATATTCAGTATGCCAAGGTGCCATATTTTAAAGTAGCATTTCCTACATCCCATTACTGATTGAGATGCCAAAAACTAATTACAAGGACCGGGCTCAGGTGATTCAGTCTGTAAATCCATCTTTGGGAAGCAGAGGGGAGTGGATTGCCTAAGCCCTCAGGTTCAAGGCCAGCCCAGACAAACTGATGAGACCTTGTCTCTACAATAAATCAAAAATTAGCCAGGCATGGTAGTGCGTGCCTGTAGTTCTGGCTATATGGAAGGCTGAAACAGAAGGATCGCTGGAGTGGTGGAGTGGCTGTGAGGGTGCCACTGCATTCCAGCCTGGGTGACAGAGTGAGACTCCAACTCATAATAATAATAATAATAATAATAATAATAAGAAGAAGAAGAAGAAGAAGAAGAAGAAGAAGTAGTCTTTCTCTCAATTATCTACCACCAAAGAACATTGATCTCAGGATCCTATTGAATTCTGTCTTTTTTAACTTTGAAGATTAAATGAGTTAACTCAATAAAATCCTTACATAGTGCCAAACACATTGAAGATGCTTATAGACTATGTTTTTTCTTATTAGATAAATTGTTCATGAATAATTACATATAATTCTGATATTTAACATAAATACACACACAAATCTGTATACAGATATAAAATTTCTCATTAAATAAGCTTATTCGATTTCTACTTTGCTCAATTCATTCTTTTGCAAGAATAAAGATTATTTACTTGCATAACTAAAATGGTTTTATTAATATTAATATACAAGGATTCCAAGAATTCCATTTCCAAACTTAATGAGTATGTTTCTGGACATTTCTTAGTTTCCTGTGCTTCAACAAGGTGCCTACAAGTGTTAAGAAAAGACATGGCAATTAGTGGAAGTTCTTTTATAAAAT